GGGGGTGAAGGTGAGTCGTTGTACTTCCTAACCAAACAGGCAGTACTATCGATCCCCAAAATATCAACCCCATATCTTTAAAAAAGGGACACCATAAGATTAACATGATGATTGATATTTAAGTGTGTGTAAGCCCTCCCCTACCCAAAACTGGTCATCGTTAATAAAGAAACTATGAATGCGGGAGGAGGACAGGACAAGTTGATCGATGACACCGCGAGCACTCATTGAATCAAATAACGCGCACTTCCCCGGTTTCCTGTTAAACATTTCTATCCCTTTTCCCGAAATCACTCCCACAAATATCCAGCATCCGAGAGGAATGCTGTTACACATCAAAAAATACCCGACTAATTTTTTAATTATTTGTTAATTAGTTTATGATAAATAATTTTTATTTCATTGACTATTGTTGTATTACTTACTTCTACATTTAATAACGCACCATATTTGTTAAATAAACACTTTTAAGCTCTTGGCAATATTATTTCATCATTTCATTGAAACAGATAAGGAATTTGTTCAAATTTTCTTACTCTCATCAGAGAAATGGCCTTGAAGAGACGTTATTTTAATATCTGTCGTGAGATCATCACATCCCTTACAGATATGATCAAATTCCTAATTTCATCGTTTCCCTGCGACGTATTCATAGTGATAGGAAGAAGACAAATTTATCATCAGTAAAGGAGAACTAAGTAAGCGTATATATAACGAAATGTTACTTAGAAACAATACATTGAATTGCCGCATTTTGTAATGTAAGATTCTTACTTTCTCAATGATTAATGATAGGTTTCATGTGGATAATTTTGGCTGTCAATTAATTGCGAAAATTGAACAATATGAGATTTTTCCACGAGAACACACTCCAAATGAGTAATAACGATGGACGATTCTTCTCACGTCAAAAATACATGATTAATTGATACACCATTCATTCACCTATGCCAAAGATCAAAACTGCCCTAAATTATTAATTACCGTACTTGTTTCTAATCGTACATGGAATTTCCAGTTCTCGATTGGAATTCACGGTTTCTAATAACAGAAACCTAGTGAGACAGATTATCCATCCCGCATTCACAACCAATGGCAATTCATTTTTCATGAAGCCTCGATATATATACGATTATTGGCCAATTAGGATTCAACAGATTTTCTTACTGTAAATCATTTCAGCCTCATAGGAAATTTAGGTGATCTAAATTGGTTAGCGTAAAGCAAAATTGGTATGTAATTTACTTTAGGGACAAGGGAAAATAGATCGTGAAATGAATCACTATCTTAGTCGTCAAAACTGGAACTATTATAACAATTCTAACTCTAACGGATTCCGATTCATTATCTCATTCATCCAATTATAATATAATTTGCAGAGACTTAATAATTGAGAAATTAAATATCTAGAATGTTATGGAAAATATTAATGTTCAATTTAAATTACTTTTGACGCAAACATTGAACAATGTTGTAACATTTTAAATCAATATAAGGTCGTGTGTACAAAATTAAGAGAATATTTAGATATTGTTCATTATCTCTGGAACTATTGGAAAGATTTTAATGAAATTTGGTATGTACATAGGGCTGATGTAATGTAAAAAAATAACCATTCATTAGTTAAAACACAATTGAAACGGCAATTTACATACAGTAATCACATTAATATCACATGAAGTTTGATTAGTAATATTAAAAATGTAGAATATTTTCCATCAGATTTAGAGGTCAGGTATTTGTATGCAAGATGTATGTCACCCTTACCCGTTAAAACAGGTGAAAAAAGGAGGTAACTACCTGGGACTGCAAGCTCCAAGTTAACATTTGCACAGTATTGGAGGAGTATCCCGTTAAACCTACTTTCTTTTAAAAATCCCTATAAAATTATTAATGCAGTTAAATATGCAAAATTGTAAGGTTTGTTATCGTTAATAATGTATGAGTATACAAAAATAAATTTTTTATCATTCTATAACCCAATAACGAATTTTAAAGACAAATGTTTATTTTTAATAAAGAAAAGTTATAATATACATTTTTGGAAAAAAGGGACATACTAAAAGTTTTAACAAAGTACTAGTAAGATTATGGGATATGTCCAAGCAAACTTCTACTATGACACAGGTTGAATATATTCACATGTATCAAGTCTTTAAATGCCAAATCATCCTGAAAGAACAAAAACATTCCATTGTTTTATTCGCTTTATTTTTCCTGATACTAAAAAAAAAAGAGAAGAAACCGCTAATGCTCAAAGCTACACCATCTCCATAAAACCAAAAATCGCCACTAAATCCAAAAATAAAACAGGATTTCTTAAAACCTCGTCAATAGTAAAACTCAAGCAAATAAGAATATCACTGAGTGAGGCCTGATTAGCCTCGCACCTATGACGCTCTGTGAAGACTTTCCAGCCTCTCAAGATCTGCTAGCTGGCTCAAAGTAGCGAAGGGTCGAGACGGAATGGGTGACGTACATCGGGGGAATATACTCTTGGTAGGGTTACCCTATGTGTAAAGCTCATTCCATTATGTCCAGCTAAAGTTAGAAGACACTAAGGTCTAAGTCAATCTTTTCTCTTCGGTACCCCAGGTCCATGGATCTAAAGAAGTTTCTTATTTCCCATTACTCTGAAACAAAATCCGTAATCGAGAAACAGCTACTAAAAGCACATTTTAACGATCAAAAACTGTATGGCATAATGTTGTCTTTTAAAAATAAACTTTTGCTGCTAATTTCAAGATATATATGCTTTATTTCCAATATAAATATTATTATTAAAATTGTTATAAAAGTAATGAAAAATCAGAATTTTAGTAATAATCAGATTTGAAAATTTGAAAACCCTAAAGCCAATAGATATTAAAATTACAAACAATGCACTTATACATGCCATATGCATTTATTTCTCGTGATTTGAAAATTATTGAATGTGATTTTTGTTGATGGAATTTATGTAAAAAAAAAGATAGTTTCAGGTTGACTTTTTCCTAGAGTAATTATAAGAATCCGGTTCACTAAGGACTTGGATGCCTTTTTTAAGATAGCAATCACATATTCAGTATCGAGTAAGACTGTTTGTGTAACTTAAATCATATTGCTTTCTTGAAGTAAATTTCAAATTTAAACTATGTCAAAGTTAAACATAAAGTTACAATCAAAGATCATGGGTCTTATTGAAGATTTTCAATAAATTTTTGCCATAGTTTTTGTTGACAATCCTTCTTCAAATTCTATTTTATATGAAAATAATATTGTAGCTTAATGCTAAGTGAGTAAGTGTTAAATGATGACTCTTCCGAAGTATATGAAATATTAATATAGAGTACAATATTCGTCCTTCCGCAATTAATAAAATGTGCATATTCATTTTTTGTAATAATTAAATATTCTCGTACAACTTCTTGCGCTTATATTTTAAGTTTTACCGATGGCTATGTCTCGCACATATTAACAAATCTGGAACGATTTTAGAAGATAATTAATCATTACGGCTGTAATTACTGGCAAAACATTTATTTACATTTTTTTGAAAAAATAAACTATTTAAATAACTTAAAAGAGAATTGTATTCCTTATACTAAAACAATGCATAGGTTATGCTCCCCATTGTTAAAAATAGCAATATATATATATATATATATATATACCTATATATATATATATATATATATATATATATATATATATATTGCTAGTGTAGGTTTGACTCAGCAACACAGTGTAAATTGCAACTACGTTTAATTTATGGAAGCATATTGAAAATGTTGATCTAATGAACTGTATATGTTTATGCAAAATTTTACCCAAATAAATTTGGCATTTCATTTTCAAAATGAGGTTTCTATAATGCTTTAAAATTATTTTTATACAATATTTTTTAAAAAGTTGAAAAAGTACTGCATAATTCCATCGATTGTTGTTTCAAAATTTAAATTTTTAATCAGACTTGAAATCACAACAGAGTTGGCAAAGTCTGTAAGACAGAAAAGTTCATAATAAATATTATTCAGTGAGCCGTTAAAACAGAAATGCGTAATCGCATATTTCTGACCGTGGCCATGAAAGGATTAAAGAAAATATCTGCTTTGATTTATGTTTGCAATTTCTTAAGGAGTTATACATTTAGTAATGTAGTATATTTAGAAATACTGAAAGCATTTTTATCTTATATTTATATACGAGTAATATGACTGTGTAATTTTTCATATTTCATTAAATTTCTTCGAAAACTAACTGAACAGAAAAGCTCGATTCGTGATCAGTAGACATTAATCTATTATTTTTTGCACTAATCCATATTTTGACACTAACTCAATTTTTTTTCTATACTAATCCATATATTTTAATACTAATTTATATTTTTACAATAATTAATCCATTTTATATAACACAATTTCATATTTACATAATTTTTTTGACAATTCCTGGGGAGTATTTTACTATTTTAAAAGCAAAAGTAAAAAAAAAAGAAAACTAAAGATAAAAGTACATTTTCTAACACATTTCATGCACATGAACTTTTAAAATCTAAAAGAGCATTTACACACTTTTGAAAAGTAATTCCATTAAAAATATTTTTTTCAAATAAAACTATAGGGAGTTTAGTTTTTAGCAGCAAGTAACTACACTAAAATGCATTATAAGGAATGTAAGTTGTTAAAGGATTAATTATTTTATTCACCAACTATACGTTCACACTCTCTCTCTGTATATAGATGTATATGTATGTGTGTGCGTTTATGCGTGCGTGCGTTCAGTGTGTGTATGGTTTGTTTAAATTATGAATGGTTAATAAAATACTTTTCATACATTCTATTTATCCATTCAAATTCAAATATATGCTTAATTAAACTTATAGTGGATGACACTTGATGTTACAATAGGTTTTTTAAAACATTAATTGATTAATTAAATTTAAATAATGAATAAATAGTAACGAACAAATAAAAAGTCCAACAACATTTCTAGATAGAAAAATTATTTGTGTGTGTTTTGTACCTGTAGCGCAATGGATGCGGCGTTGGACTTCTATTCCAAAGAGCGTGCCTTCGAATCTCACCTGGGATGGCCTAATTTCTAAGAATATAATTTCTTTTTTCCTATACTATTTTATTACAAAAAATTAATTTTATTAATGAATAAGTAGTAACAAACAAAAAATAGTCATACACTATAATAAAGAAAATGGAAAATTGCAAGTAAGATCGCTTTCTATTCTGCCACTTAATAATGGTATTCTGTCATATGTATATATACATTTATATTAATTGTAGCTATTTAATAAAAAGTAATACTTAAAAGTAAGACTTAATATATATATATATATATATATATATATATATATATATAAGTCAATTCCTACTTAGGTCAACAAAGAGAAATTTTATTTTTTAGTTACTAGTTATATATATATATATTACTTGTCCTTATTCCTTTATTTGCTAAAGTATCCACCCTTTTAATGTCAGTTTACGGAAAAGATTTAAAACTCAAAGATAAAGACAGCTTAATTAAATATTAGTAAGCAAACTGCTTGATTCCTAAAAGTAGCTAACGGAATTAAAAGTTCCGATTAGATTTTCGGTGCAATTCACGTTATATATTGCAGAATTTTTTTATAGAACTTTTGTGTAAAATCCCAAGTGAAAAGACCCTTTAAATTAATATAAAGTAAAGAACCACTTTATTTACTCACGAACCTTATAAACTACATGAATAAAAGAGAAAAGTAGACAAACGAACCAAAACAAAAATAGATTGTGCGTCCGTAAAATTACTTGAATGTCTTCTGGGACAATTCCAGCACGCAAGTACTTTCAGAATGAACAACTCAGTCGTAACGACATCGTCTGTAAAATTTAAAATAAAAAAAGGGAAAAGTCATATGTGCCATTTTGAGAAAAGTCTCGCACCAATTTCTCCTGACGAATGTTCGACTATTTAGATTTCGGAAGTTAACCAAATGGTTTTTCAGAAAAAAGTTGAATTCGAAATCTACCGTAATGTACGTCTTCCTATTCCGCCCCATATCGTTTTAAAACCAGCCTTTATGTCTAGGAAAAAAACCTTTTTGTGTGATTTTCGGGATAGCCAATAAAGTGGATTCATACCTAACCGTTTGGATTATTGTGCTGATTTCGTTCGGCCAATTTCTTGGCATGTTTCGAGCTTATATACCGAATCTGATTTCTCGCAGCAAGAATATGTTAAAGAAATCGCTTTCGGGATTCAGTAAAATAAATATCAATAAAATGAGAAGAATGAAGTACATGTGTTTAAAAAAATGATTCTATTCAGAATTGAATCTAAAAAGAATTTTATTTTTGAGTGTAAATTTATTGCAATGGTATATGCGAGTAATATAATAAAAAAAAAATATTTAACTTGAAAATTTCTTGAAACATTTTTTTTAAACATTTACCTTGAAAAATATCAAATTTGAGGTTTCTAAGTATTAGCTTCAAAATTGTGTTTTTATATAAATTAATGCATCAGGTTTTTTATTTATAACGCACATTTTGTAAATCTTATTTCAAACAGTATAATTTTATAACTACATAGCCCTCATGCTGCTTTAAAATGCGTTTTTGTAAGCAAATCAACCACTGAAGGGTCTAAATTCAAGACGGCCACATGAAGGCAGTCACCTGTAATAATAAACAAAAATATATAACTTACAAATTTCTTGAAACTTTTTTCTTTAACATTTACCTTGAAAAATATGAAATTTGAGGTTTCTTAGTTTTAGCTTCAAAAGTGTTAGTTTTAGCTTAAAAAAAGTGTTTTTATATAAATTAATGCATCAGATTTTGTATTTATAATACCCATTTTGTAAATCTTATTTCAAACAATATAATTTTACTACATAGCCCTCACGCTGCTTTAAAATGCGATTTTTGTAAGCAAATCAACCATAGCAATGTCTAAATTAAGACGGTCACATGATAAAGGCAATCAACTGTTCTCCAAAACTAACGTTAGTCACCTACTTCTTGTTCTACTCGTAAAATTTAGGTAACATTTTATTTGTTCAAATGTTAATAATATTACACATATATGTATAAATCAATTCCGTTTTTTTTTTCTTATGTTTTTTTTATTATTCTTATAAAGATAACCTTTTTAATAGAAAGTTCTGCCAAAGGCAACAACAAAGTAACAGCAAAACATAAGAGCTGATTTGTTGGAAACATCGTGACTATGATGGCATGTGAATTCAGTCCATGAAATAGCTATTCCTCAAACCTTAACATTAATAACCGATACACCTTACCAGTTACCGAAAACTTGCCACAATCGGCTTTCTCGTACGTTGTACGGACACTGATGTTCTCTTCTTTCTATATTTTATTTGCAAGTATATTTTATTCTTATAGTGAGATTATTAGAGCTAGTGTTTTTAACGGATGCAGTTTTTACATTGATCTAAAATACTTCTCAATCGGGATTTTCTTTGGTTTGAAGGCGGGAATTTTACTTTGTAGGCAGGGATTTGGATTTTTGAAAATATTCAATAAAGGACTGGGAAGGCAAGTTAAGGCAGTTAAGGCAATGGGCAGTCTGTTGCTTGAGAAGAAATAAAAATGGGAAAATAATCCAAAAAAACTTAAATTATCTCTGTTTCTATTTCAAAGCAAAACTTAGTATTACGTCATGCTTCAAATTATATATATATATATATATATATATATTATGAAAGAAATTTATATACTATACCAAAAACCAAGAAGTAATAGATAATGAACATAACAAGAAATAACGTAATAAAAAATATAAAAGCTAAACATGAACATCGAATTTAAAGAAAAATACAAAAAAGAACCTAACGAAACAGAAAGATATTTCGGACTTAGGGCCGAATAAGTGGGGTTAAACTAGTTTGAAGGCGTCAACTTTCCCTCTTTGCAACTCGGTAGGAAAAATCAAATAAAATAAACAAAATTTCATTGTGTATAAAAACTCACAGAAAGTATGATAAAAACACTGACCACTATTCTGCAACAAATTCTCCCAAAACCTTAAAGCAGAAAAATCAGAAAACAATTACGTAAAAAAGTAGAAAAATCCTAAAACAATTAAGCAAGAAAATATTTTTCAGAAAAGAATTTAACAAAATTTCTCTCTTTACTCACGGAGCTTTCTCTTAGAAAATCAAGAGTCCTGAAATTAATTAAAAGCAACTATTCACCGAGTTAAAAAACCTGAATATACATAAACGCATCTTTTGAACTATCTTTTAAACTAGCCAGCAAAGATAGATAGCAAGAGAGATGACAATCAAATTTGGTAGGCTATGAATTGGTTGATTGTCAAAAATGTAAATTTGCTAGGCTCTAATTTGGTTGGTTGTCAAAAATGTGTAAGATGTTCAAAATGTGTGGAAAAGATGTAAACTGTGAGAAGAGTGTTATGATATAATCTTTCCAGCAAGAACACTAACATGCTGACATCTAAATCCTGTTGTTGTGTGGTGGATTTGAAATTAGAAGTAGCTAGACGATTAATGTATTTGTGATTAATATATGTTGTTAAGAAGTTGAAAGGGTATTCATGATCTAAAAAACATGAATTTTTTTTTGATATTATTGAATTTACCTATTTTGTGGGTAGTTAAGTTATCATTTCTAAATTTAAAAGAAATCAAAATAATATTTCTGTAAATTGATAAATGCAAATTATTATTCCATACCATTATAATTTTGTAAGTTATCAATTATATTTTAAATGAGAGATTGCAAGATCTTCCCAGACTTTATGATACATGTATTGTACCCATTAGTAATACTATAGAATTTTATACGGCTTTCATGAAATTTTGGTGTTAAAAAATGTGTGGATATATTTAATATTATTTAGATGAATATTCAGTCTTTTTTTGGTTCAAAGCCAAAAGACGATTATCCTCTTCTCTTTTACTATAAATTGATTGTTGAATTGCATTATTATTTAAAATGTGATTACTTAATATTTTACTGTAAAAATATTTACAGATTATGGAATAATTAGCAGAGACCTTATCAAAATAAGTAATCTCGAAGTTATTTTGGATATTTTCTATTGATGATTTAAGAACTTTATACATAATTTCATTTTCAACACTGGAATCTAATTTTCGAATTTTGATTGTAACATAAAACCCAAATTGATTGAAAGGCTTAATCGGCATTCCATATTTACTTCCAATTTTAAGGTAGAACTTATCTAAACCCCTTTTGGTTTGTTTCATAACATTAGATTTATTCTTTATGATCATAAGTCTAAACCCAATACCATTTTTCATTAAATTTCTCAACAAATTATCTTTCACGATGCCAAGGTTCCCGTGACAATGTGCTGATGATAATCATCAATATAGTCCCCATATAAATTACATTTACATGATTCTATACTTAGGAGCTCCGATATTTTATTATAATTAAATATAAATCTACCAAGTTTCTTGTTGTATTTGAAAGCCATTTTAATAAGATTAATTTTAAAAAGAGAAAAGGATTGATATTTTTGCAATATACCTGATATATATATATATATATATATATATATATATATATATATATATATATATATATATAATCTTGGAGTAATTCGTAAAAATGGACACACAGGAGAAATGTAAAGTGCAGCCGTTTATCGTATCATATCATATTTTATTCCAATATTCAGCAAATAATTCTGTACGCCAAGACATAAAAAAAGACTAGTAGCATTACAAGCTTCAATCTGGGGTGAATCATTCAGCCACGTGAAGAGTAGAAGTCAATGCATTTATGCGGGAGGTGGGTTGAGTTCTCCTGGTTGGCAGTTTACTCCAACTGAGACATAAATGGCAGGGTATTCTACACATATATAAATTATATATATATATATATATATATATATATATATATATATGTGTGTGTGTGTTTGTATACGTACACACCCAAAGTCTAAAACCTTTTGAAAAAGAGGTACGGACATGATTTTTTTTTTAAATGTGAGAAAAATTATTTTAAAATCGATGAAATATTCTTCATAGCATGCAGAATATACTTAAATAAATAAAACATTTATAGTTTTTTGTGTACCAC